TCTTATAGTCTATTCTCCTCACCACAGTCAGGGAGATCCTTAATAAATAGCTCTTAAATGAATAAAGTAATATATTATTGTTATCCCTAATTCACAGAAGAGAAACTAATGCTGAAAAAACATTAATGGCTTGCCTAGGCCACAGCACTTGCAAGTGACAACCTAACCAGGAATTTAGAATTGTCTTATTTCCAAATTTTAGAAGGTTAGAGAGTTTATTCTTATATAATTTAGTAATAACTTAAGTTTTAATTTCCCGTTTACAGATATTTAGTGTACAGCCTACAATCTTCATATCTTTCTAATCTGGGCTCCCTTGCATATTCTTAGGGAAAAACTTGAATCAGTAAACATTTTATTGCTGTTTTAATAAGTCATATTTAAAATTCATAAAGCGAAATAACTATTTCTCTGACTTTCCAGTCCCCTTAACATAACCTATAAATCTCAGTCATCCTAAGTCTCTAAGTTCCCAAGGTATACTAGCCTTCCCTCTATTATTTCTAGGCATAGGAATATAAATGTACTGGTCAACTTGAGACTATAGAAATCTTCTGGCAGGAAGATGTTAATATTAGATAAGGTCATTATGTCAGTGTAGGTACATGAAATTCCGTACTCAACGTTCAGTTTAATTTAAATATATCACTTATAAAAGCTGCATGGTTATTCCAAAATTTTTTTGAAATTAAATTTATTCTTAGTGTTTTTCTAGCAAACGTAAGTGTAGTACATGAAAGTTTTTATAACAAATTTGAAGTGTAGCATATTAAAATATTCAGCACCTCAGTGGTATTTTTAATTTTTGTGGCAACTGTATTAACATCTTGATATATTTTCCATTTTTAAAATCCCCATAGAACCATAAGAAACAAGAAACATTATTATAAAATAGAGAATGTATTTTGTACTTGATTCCCATCACAATAACAATCAAGAATAGAAGGAGAGCACTCATTTTCAGAAAAGAAGCTGAAAAAGAATACTGTTGTCTTTACATTTCTGAGTAGATCTTTAACAGTTAGTAAAATATCAAGTGACACTATGATTTAATATAATTTAAATCAACTACAAAGTATCAATATTACTATTTAGTTTTACACTTTTATGAAAACAACAGTGATAACATGTCTAGTTTGTCATGTAATTTGCTTTGTCTCCAGATCTTTTAGAAAGCCTGTTTCCATGACACCACTAAGAAACAAGTTTTAGGGCCGGGTGCGGTGGCTCAAGCCTGTAATCCCAGCACTTTGGGAGGCCGAGGCGGGTGGATCACGAGGTCAAGAGATCGAGACCATCATGGTCAACATGGTGAAACCCCGTCTCTACTAAAACTACAAAAAATTAGCTGGGCATGGTGGTGCGTGCCTGTAATCCCAGCTACTCAGGAGGCTGAGGCAGGAGAATTGCCTGAACCCAGGAGACAGAGGTTGCGGTGAGCCGAGATCGTGCCATTGCACTCCAGCCTGGGTAATATGAGCGAAACTCTGTCTCAAAAAAAAAAAAAAGAAACAAGTTTTAGATCATAGGATGCACATTCAGTCACAATCAATGTACACATATGTATGCATTATAATTTGCCATATTTTCATTGAACTTGAATTCTCTATCAGGTGAGGAAATATTTTACCATTCCTTATTTTATTTGACCTCAACTTATTTTATAACTATATATTCTTCTGTTTTAATGTTTGCATGGATAGTTTATTATTTCTTCTCACTAAATGTATTTATCGTAATTGATCTCTGCCTGGTTTTTTATGTCATTTAACTTATAAATTAAGTCATGAGAAGATTTTGCCTCCAGTTTCTTGTCTATTTGGATATTTGAGGGTGTTGTTTGGGTGATCCTCTGTAATGATACCAAAACTACAGAAATAAAATATCCAAACTGATTTTTCTTTTGTTTGTGTTTTCAGAGGGATCCAGAAGAGATTACAGTAAGTACTATCTTGTTTCTCAACAAAAATTTGCTTCCCCTTAGCAACATTCCCCTAGATTGTAAATGCTTTGGAAGAAAGAGAAATCCTGTCATATGTCAAGTCATATGAATACTAAGTTTTCTAGTGCTGGTCTAGAATGATCTGTCAGCAACAAACAGGTTTTCAAATTGGCTGGGAGAAAAGGAAAGCAACAGAAGTGATGAGCAAGAGAAAAGGTAAGTAATGAAGATAAAAGGGAGAGAGAGAAGAAAATAGAGAAGGAAACGGAGGGAGGAATTAGGACAATAGGAATGGCATCTACCTACTATAAATTTTTAGAGATCCAAAGCACGTGCAGTAGCTCGTGGGAGTGGCCTTTGATACCCATCACCAGATCAGTGATGGCTCCCTGGGCATAGGTGTCAACTCCTGAGAAGGGGGTGACAGTGACTGAAGCTGATATGCAAAGATTAGAGATCCAAATTCTCATGATTCACCTCATGTTTTCTGTCTGTGTATTTCAGCACTGTCAGCCAACTCTCTAGGTAAGTGCTTTGTGATATTCTTTTAATTCTACTGTCATCTGGTTTGCGAGCCCTATTGTTTCTGTGTTTTTTAACTTTTAAGAAAGTTTTTTAAATTAAGTATAGAAATAATTAACACTTGTATATCTATACCTTAGATGTGACAAATTGATAATATTCTTGTCATATTTCTCAAGTTATCATGGTTTATTTCACTCCCTTCTTCCCAAAGTCTTATTAGTATGTTTTAAATATCTTAAGTCTATTTACATATATTTATAGTCTCTACCTATCACTGAACAAAATACAGTATTTTTTTTAAAAATGTTTAATTTTACAAAAATGGCATCCGTCTGATAGTATCATTACAATTCGCATTCTTCTCTCAAAATGTAGTACTGAAATCCAGGTTATACACTTTAACTATTGAATAATATTCCAATTTATGAATATACAATATTTTTCTGTTATTTCTCCTATTGATGCATTCTCAGTGTTTCCAATTTCTGCTATCACAAATAATGCTGCAAAGGTTTTCCTTAAGTAGATGGAAAAGCGTTTATCCAGGGTGCATACCCTGAAGTAGGATTAATGATCACATTGTATATGAACATTTGTATAATTTATGTATATTTTAAATTTTACTAGCGATTAATTAATCAAGCTCCTTGGTAGTTACATAGAGGCATACAAAAATATATAAAAGTTTCCTCATTTCTCTGCATTAGTAACAGTCCCAGGTGTTATCATATTTTTATATTATTAACACTTGAATACATGTACAGTATTTAAAATCTCCATTTCCCTGCTCACTCCTGAAATTGAGTATCTTCTCATAAGTTTACTAGCTAGTTAGGCTTCACCTTATATAAATTGCTTGTTCGTTTACTTCACCCATTTATGTATTAGATTATTGATCTGTAGGAATTATTTATTATTATGAAAGATCAACTTTTATATGTTATGTCAAATATTTGCAATTATCTCCTCCAATTCTCTCTTAGCTTTAAATTTTTTTGCTGTCTCTTGACTCTTAGAAGGCCTCCACTTACTCTGCCCCAACACCACACAATTTATTGTAATAAAACTTGTCAATCTTTTGTTCTCTTTTAGTCTCTGCTTTTTTGTTTGTTTCCTTGGTCTTATCTGGGTATCAGAAATATATCATCTAATACTTTCTCTTAACAGTTTTAAAGTTTCCCTTTCCACATACAGGCCTTTAATCCAAATGGGGTTTTGTTCATTGTTTTTTGGTTTTGGTGAGTGATTTTAGAAATAATACAGGTGAGATCTAATTTTCCTCTCATCTGGAAAATCAACTAGATGGATTTCTTCTCATGTTGCTCCAACTAGATTTATTAACTTGTGCATTCTTTCTTCACTGATTTGTAATGCCGTCTTCATTATATATTTGTTTTTTCCATGGATTTTATTTTCTGTTCCAGTGATCTTTTGTCTTTTACTGAACCAATACTATATTGCTTTCACTACTAAAACTTTATAACGTTTATTCTAAGAAATAGCACATTATTTTCATTCTTTTTCAGAAATGTGTTGGCTATTCTTGGATGTTTTCTCTTACACAAGAATTTTATAATTTCTCAAAATCCCTGAGAGTCATATTTGACTCTTGAAACTTCATTGAAATTTGAGTCTGTAATTAATTTATAAAATCAGTTCTTCCCATGCATTAACATAGTAGTCTACTATTCGAATTTTCTCATATACCCTTCAATAATGTAACATAATTTTTTTCAGAAAGGTCTTGCATGTCTTTTGTTGGATTAATTCCTACACACATACTTGTTTTTTCTTTCTGATGTGAATAATACCTTTATATGGATTTTACAAATAATTATTGCTGGCATATAAGTTATATGTTGTATATCTGAGAGTAGATTTTATATCTAGTCACGCTGCTATGTTCTTTGAGTTCCAATAATTTTTAGATTCTCTTGAATTATACATGTAAAAAATCATGTCATCTGTAAAATCTGATAATCTTGAGTTTCCTTTTCCAATTTTTTTTTTTTTTTTTTTTTTTGAGATGGAGTCTCGCTCTGTCACCAGACTGGAGTGCAGTGGCGCGATCTCTGTCACCAGACTGGAGTGCAGTGGAGCGATCTCTGTCACCAGACTGGAGTGCAGTGGAGCGATCTCGGCTCACTGCAACATCTGCCTCCCAGGTTCAAGTGATTCTCCTGCCTCAGGTTCTCAAGTAGCTGGGACTACAGGAACGAGCCACCACGCCCAGCTAATTTTTCCATTTTTAGTAGAGACAGGGTTTCACCATGTTGAACAGGATGGTCTCGATCTCTTGACCTCGTGATCCACCTGTCTCGGTCTCCCAAAGTGCTGGGATTACAGGCATGAGCCACCGCGCCTGGCCTCCTTTTCCAATTCTTGAAACCATTTTTTTGTCATAGCTTGGGCTGTGTATATCTATGGCTAAAATTCCTTCTCTTTACTTTTGCTTTATTTTTGTTTCTTTTACTAGCTTGCTATATGAAGCTCTTAATTAATTTCCAGACTTTTTTATCTTTTTTTATTTTATTTTTATATGAGACACTTCATGAATTTGCATGCCATCTTCACACATGGATCATACTAATCTTCTCTGCGTCATTTCAATTTTAGTATATGTGCTGCCAAAGTGGGCACTCTTATTTTCTAATAGAAGTATCTAAGTAACTTCTAAATGCTGCTTAAACGCATATCCTCATATCTGCTCATGTCCTCATGACTGTTTTTTTTACTTTAATTCTACACTGTCTGATATTAGCATTGTTCTAACATCTTTGTTTTAATTAGCATTTGCCTATTATATATATTTTTCATGCTTTTATTTTGAACCTTAGGAGTTTGTTTTTGTCTTGTGTCTTTTTAAATGGCATATTGCTTGACTTTGTTGATATTAACAATGTAAAATTTTCTGTTTCCTAACAGATGAATTTAGTTCATTTTATATTGTGAATTGTTATGTGTTTATCTAAATTTTGCCAATTTATATTGTGTTTTCAACTTACAGTTCTATGCTTTCTTCTTTTATTTTTTAAATCTTCTTTCCTACCTTCTGCTACAATATTAGATTTCCTTGTTTCTTTTGTTTTACTTACTGTTTTTCTGGATTTTGTTTTATTCATCCTTATATTCGTAACGTGTACTACTTAATTTTGCTTTAAAAATTAAAGATAATCAGCATCTTCTTCTAAGACTAGATAATAATCTTTATTGACCATCTTCCCTCCAAACTATTCTTTCCACATTCTCCATCTTGTTTATGGCATTCTTTTTAAAAATAAAATAATCATTTATTTTTCATGATTAACAATTACTTAGACTTACAACAATCGGCATTGTTTTTGCTTAACATTATTTGTTATATGCTACATCTTTTTTATTTCTTGCCCAGATAAAATCCTTTAGTGGTTCTTTAAACTCCACATGTGTGTGAAAAATTTTCTAAGGCTTCTTATGACTAAAAACAGCTCTACTTCACCCTCAGCCTTAAATGAAAACTTAGCTGAGTATAGAATTGAACATTACTTTTTCTCAGTACTTTGAAGATTTATTCCATTTTCTTGTTGTTTATTATTTATTATTGTTGATAAGAATCTACTACTAGTTTGACGGTTCTTCCTACATAAATATATTTTCAAGATTTTATCTTTGTTTTTGCGCTGTGCATTTTAATTATAATGTTTATGAGTGTGAGATATACTTTTTATGAGTGTAAGATTATCCTGAGCAGGAAAAATGAAGTGAATCTCAGACCCAGAATGGAAACTCTTGAATGTTTTCATTTACTCTGAGCAGGATAAATGAAGTTAATCTCACACTCATAAACATTCAATAGTTTCCATTTGGTGGACTCAACCTTTCTCTAAATAGAAAATTTTAACTTTAATTGCTATGAATTTAGCCCATATTTATATCTATATCTACAAACTGTAGTCTCTACTTCTAAAATTACTATGTATATAAAGATTTTCCTTCCGTCTTTCAGATCTTGCAACTTCTCTTTTGTATTTCTTATCTGCATTGATTAAGTTAACCCCAGATCTTAAAATCTCCATGCTTTTACCTAATAGAATTTTATTTCTTACTTATGAGAAGTCCAAAACAGGAATTCCAGATTGGTGGATGGCCCTTCTCTCAGCATTGTCTTAGGCACTCAAATTCATCTTATCTAAAGTCTCCACCATCTTCAAATAATGACTCCTAAGTTCATCATGTTTGTCCTCCATAAGTGAACAGAAAGAAAAAAGCTTGAAGATCATGAGTAGATGATCTTCCAAGATCATCCACTGGATGACTTTCCTAACACTTCTAACAACAGTAGATTGGCTAGAACTCAATCATATAGCCACACCTAACTACAAGGGAATTTGGGGGAAATAGTCTAACCATGTTGCATTAGTTTTCTATAGCTGTTCTAGCAAATTACCACAAATTTAATGGATTAAAACAACGCAAATCTGTTACCTATCAGTTCCACAGATTATAAATCTGTCACATATGTCTCACTGAACAATAATCAGGTTGTCAGCTAGACTGCATTCTTTCTGGAGGTTCTAGGAACAAATCTGTGTCCTTGCTTTTTCAGCTTCTAGAGGCTGCCCACATTCCTTGGGTTCATGGCACCCTTCTTCTATCTTCAAAGTGAACAAAAATAAATCAAGTCTTCGCATCACATCATTCTGGTTTTCTTCCATTTTAATATCTCTTTCTCTTACTCTCTTCTACCTCCCTCTTTAACTCTTAAAAATCTTTGTGATTATATTGGACCTACCCAGATATACCAAGATCATTATCCTACTTTAAGGTGAGCTGATTAGCAACTTTAATTGTATCTGCAACATTAATTCCCTTTTGCCATGTAACCTAACATATTAAACAGGAAGATCATCCCAGGTTCTTACAATGCATGACTGTGGCCTTGATTTCTGCTGGTGATCAGGTGTTTAAGACTCAGCGCCTGTAATAAGATATCACATGGGTAGTGAAACTTCTCATTCATTACCAAGCATATGGGTTCCTTCTTGATATACTCTTCTTGAATATATTACTTCTCTTTTTAGTTTTCCAGCGCAGCTCTAGTTTATAAACTTTAGAAAATACAGTGCTCAAAGTAATCACTTAAAGGAGAGGATGAAATATCCCCCTCAATAGTAAGCACACTTTCACTTCTTTGACTCTTTAGCTTCTAAAGAGTCAAGTTCTATTCAAGAACTTCCTGATTTGATCTTTTGGTATTCATCTCTACAGGACACAAGTGAATTTTGGAAAGTGGAAACCCCTATTGGAGCAGTTAGGTGGTAATTGTTTGGTGTAACAAAAAATATTTCAAACAAAGGGAAAAAAGAAAGAAAATTAAGGGGAGAGAGGAATAGGTGAAAGAAAGGTGCAGAAGGAAAGAACAAAGCAGGAGAATCACCAATGAAAGAAGACATATGAACAGAAAAATGTCCATAGATTGAGAAACTAGCAATCTCCAAAAATATTTTTATTCTCTTAATCGCCGAAATTAAAAGATAGTTTGCATAGATCTTGTAGTCAAAAAAAGTACTGCAATCCATATGTAGATATCCAGCTGATCACCACATTGCATTCCAGTTGATAACAGGAATTGAAATATGACTCATTTCTATCCTCTTTCCCAAACCTTTCTGCAATATAGTGTCTATGGCATCTAAGTTCTCCCTGGACAACCAGAACTCATTCTTGTTTTGATGTGTTTTATTTTAGCACTGTCTCAATCAAGTGTAGGTAAGTTCCTTTACTTTTCTTCAATCGTGCTGACATTTAGTCCCATTTAATCAAGAGTGTATCTTCCTAAACTTTCCAGACTTCTTCACTGAAGCACAGCAGAAGCTTGAGCTTCACATTTCTCCAATTTCTTTGTTCTCCATAACCAGACATCTCAATCATCAGTCAAAAGTATAGAAAATAAATGCAAGTTTCTAGTGGTTTATTACGATGATACGAAGAGAGCAATTTCCAAACCTGAAGTGTTGAAAAAAACAGAGTAAATAAAGAAGGGTGAGAGCAAGAAGTTAGTAAGAAAAATAAGATGAGAATGAAGATAATAAAGAATGAGAGATAAGTTATATTAGCTGTGTCCTCAGAATTTCAAAGCTTTGCATGGCTGGCAGGAAAGGGTAGCCTTCCCTGAGGCATCCCGAAGTCAGGCTGGCAGCAATGGAAGAAATGCCTAATTTCCTATCTCCCTGAGCTGCAATGGACACTAAGGGTTTGGTGCTCCCAGGAGTTCCTTGTTCTGCTACTTACCCCTGCTCTGTCCCTGCAAAAAAGAAATAAATGGATAGTTTTTTAGCCAGACAACCACGGGAATTTTTTATTTGCATTTCTTTTTAGGAAAGCAAAAAAAAAAAAAAATCGAATTTCCAAATTCTAAGTCTCTTTGGTGTGTCACAGAGCTAAGGAACATTCCCTAACTCTGCTGAGCTCTTGTCCTTCACCTTTTCCTTCCCCATCATTGAGCATTTTGTCTGAAATTAATGAGACCTTTGAAGAATGAGAAGTCCACTGATTAAAGAATAAAGAGATGATTAAAATGGCTTAGCTGGCAATCAGAGTTCCAGCAAACAGTAATAGCTTCATTAACTTAGAAATAGGAGGCCTCTTGAGAAAGAATTCGCACAGGGCATTCTCTGGACTGTGATAACTTGGGAAAGAGCCTCTCAAACCAGGACCACAAAGATCTTGATCCTATTATTTCTTTGAAAATCTTGAGCTAGCATAGTGCCCAAGATAGAGGAGGCTATGGTTCACTACCCCTACATGTATAAACAGATAAGGACTGCAGTCTGAAATGGTGATATAATGTGTGTTGAGCATTATGCTCCAAGCTCTGTCATAAACACATTTTCTCCATAATAATCCTAGGATGTAGATATTATTATAAATCCTATTTTCAAAATGAATAAACTTAGGCATAAAAAAAAAGCAGGCAGAATAACACAGCTAGTAAGTAGAGGAATCAGGATGCAAACCCAAGTATTCTAGTAGTCGACGGCCTTCTGCACTTAATGAGACCTAATCAAGGGTCCCCTTTCTAAAATGATTTCAGTGAGAATTATATACTTTATGAACCAATCAACTCAGACTGATGTGGATTGTTATTCCTCAGTGCCAACTTCAGGAACCATATTTCAGTTTATTTTCTATTTCTCAATTTAGGAAAGAGAAATGATAGCAAACAGATAATAAGGGAGTACATAGGGAAGCTAAACAAAGTTTAATCAAGACTAGGATGCTCCACCTCCTCAAAGCATATAGAGGAAAAAGAAAAAAAAAAAAGATTAAGGGCCAAGCACGGTGGCTTACACCTATAATCCCAACACTTTGGGAGGCAGATGTAGGAGGATCCTTGGGACTAGGGACTCAAGACCAACCTGGACAACACAGCAAGACTCTGTCTCTGCAAAAAAATTGAAAGAATTAGTAGGGCAAGGTGGCATGCCTGTAGTCCTAGCTACATAGGAGGCTGAAGGGGGAGGATAACTTGAGCCCAGTAGGGAGAGGTTACAGTGAGCTATGACAGAACCACTGAACTTCAACCTGGGCAACAGAGGGAAACCCTATCCCCAGAAAAAGAATAAGGTCTTCCAAGCTCCCTTAAGAGTTTCAACCTTTAC